TGCGTCACCCATAGGCGGAACAATTTGCTCTCTTGAGGTTACCACTTGCAACCGCTAGCGCAGGAAGTTGGTGCAGTCGCTCGGCCAATATGATGTGCCTGTGTCTTGCCACTGGAGCAACAGGCAATCCTAGCTTCGGGGGGATTATGAGGACGTGCAAACCGACTGCCATTGTCAGACACCTTTATACGTCGGCAGTTTCCAAGGTTAGGGTAATATTTCGTGCTTCATCATAGCGTGTTTCTCTAAGAAGCTCCCATACAGCTGAGAGTAGATGTAGGAGCCTAAACTGGCCCTAAACCCGATGTATCCCCATATATCCCTATGTAGCCCCTATATATCCCTATATAGAACCTATATATCCCTATATACCCCCTGCATAACCCCTATATGACCGAAGAGCAGCTAACATCCAGACCAGTGGCTCCTGTCTGCCCCTTGAAGCATTCCTACCTATGTCGTAGGTTGTCGAATCTATGTTCCCGTTTTGGGGTACCTGCGTAGTTTGATACGACCCCCAAATAGTAGGGCATGATTTGGGAGTGAACTAACTTCAGCAAAACTAACCTTGCAGTTGAGACAAGACTCCCTACAGTAATAGCCCCTGAATATGGAGTTCGTAGGGCCTTAATATACCTACCATAGTCTTTTGTGGTACATATGACTGGGTGGGGGATTGACCTAGCCCAGCAGCGGTGTATTGATCATGCCAGCTCCAAAGCTGGAGCAGTATTCCTTACCGGGTTTAGGGTTTAGGGTATAGGGTTTAGGGTTTAGGGTGGAAAAGACAATGGAAACTGCTATATGATTATAGGGTCTATTTAGCGATAATATAGGGATATTGGAAAAGAGAACGGAAACTGCTATAGTTATAGGGTCTATATAGCGATAATATAGGGATAACGGAAAAGAAAATGGACTACATAATTATAGGGTCTATATAGGGATAATAAAGGAATAACGGAAAAGAAAATGGAAATAATTAGATTATTGTGGAATACCCAGAGGGTCCATGTACCCAAGAATTGGGTACTTGGGAGTTGGGTAATAGTAATTTTGGTATAGGTTTTAGGTGGTTATATGATTATTAAGTACTTGGACACTTAGGGTTAGACTTGCCATGTGGTGGCAACAGGAAGTCCTTCTCTGACCAGGTTGATCACCAAAACTGTTGAAATCGCAAACCTGCCTGATACTTCGCTGAGGTTGATGGCCTGCAATGACCCTAAGCCTGTTGTACGACCAGAGCTCGCAACATTTATGTACATAGGGTCACGCAGAAATTTTGGTTTTATTCACAGCGCCGGGACTCATAGACCATCCCCACCCCCTCTCCTACACACAGAAGACATGATCAGTAGTCTAAACTCCTTAAAAGGAGCTTATGTAGGGGGGATTGTATACGGGAGTACTATAGGGGCTATTAAGGGGGCTACTAGGAGTTTGGGCTATAGCTCACATGGTATCAACAACAATCTTGGCTCAGATTTTGCTGGCTTCCTTCCTGGTGGCCGTGGGCATTAGCATGGTTTGGCGCTTTGCCCTGCGAACTTCCAGCTCGCACCTGACACTGAATCAGGTATCCTGGGAGCCCGGTAGTCGTTCAGTAGGGAATATACCTTGGATCATACACTGGGGTTTCTCGGACGATTTAGGGTATGTTCCTCACTGAAGGGGTGTTAGGTCATGTTAGTGGATTTTTGTTGAATCACGTTCAAGGGTTTAAGGGGTTAGTAACACATTTGCATGTTTGGCGTCCATTTTGTCGAAAACCATGGACAGCTTCGCACGCTATACTAGGTTGTTGTTGTGGCTTCCTGTGCAACCTTGCTGAGTCCAAGGCTTAGCTTCATGATTTGATTCTAGCTATCCTGACCGCTGAAGGATAAATTGCTGTTCCAGATTTGCCCTCTGACCCTCTAACCCCACACCCTAATCCCAAAACCCTACACCCTCGACAATACTGACAACAGCTAAGCCCACGTGTGTGGATTGTAAGCTTGGGAATCCACCGGGGAGTCTGCAAACCTGAGCCCTGAAGCCTATAGGCCGCCCTGAACCCAAAACTCTGAACCCTAAACACTAGACCCTAAAACCTAAGCCCTAAACGAACCCAAAACTCTGAACCCTAATCGGGGTAATAACCCTAGAGGCCCTTAAGGAAAACACCCTAAACCCTTATATACCCCTATATATATCCCCTTTATATCCCCTATATATCCCCTATATACCCCATATATATCCTCTATACTTCCCTTATATAACCCCTACAGAACCCCTATATAAGCCATCCCAAATCGTCCTACCGCATCCTTCTGAGGCTGACGAGGCGCTTGCATCGTTTCTCTGAAGAGCTCAAGTTGCGAAATCCCCATCCCAAAGCTTGCAGCTAGATCCGCAAGCAGCAATATCCTGGGTTGCTGTTAAGGCGTTTGAATTAAGTTACCATACTGGGTATACGCAATAAAAGGGTTTAGGGTTTCCCCAAGATAGTAACTTGAGTTAAGTTCCGTAACAGCAACCCAGTGTCTTACCTTTAATGGATTAGTAGGGAAGAAATGGAACATGTTATGTAGGCATGCTATAGGGATGATATTCCCTCAGGCAACATTGGGGGTTTCCCAAAACTAGGCGAATTTTTTTGGGCCTCCATAATAAGGATTATAGTATTTTGGGGTACCCATTGGGGGACCCCTATTTACGGAAACTACCATATCTCTTTTGTGGGGTTCACAGCCTTTGCTGACGGTTTGATGTGCACGGTTGCGCCATTCTCTTTTCAACGCGACGACAGCAAAATTCGAGTTCTCCAGATTTTCTCAAGACTGTCCTCCGCTCTATACATCCCAAACGTATACCCCGAAGGCACGAAGGGACCTGACCGTGCAATTGCCGTCGCTCGTGCAGCAGATAACGCCTGACCGCCTCACCTACCAACATGGGACCCTCTGGATATTTCATAGATCAGCTTTCACAGGGGATGCTGGTCTTTGATGGGGGTCTGCTTGGATATTGAGGGCTTGTGTTCAAAATGCTGCCTCTCGGGTGTCCATTTTAGGGGATTGGACATGGCTCAGACGTTGCTTTTCAATTCAAAGTGGGCCTATGTGCTATAGTCTAAACTCGTAGTATCCCCAGTAATAACCCCTATAGTACTCCCCTACATAATTCCCTATATAACCCCTTTCAGGAGTTTAGACTGTAGCTCATGTACCAGATGACCTTGCAGTGAGGCAGCGGCTTCTAGTATGTTCTGGCCTTACGGATTTCAGAGCCTAAATCTCAAACCTTGTACAGCAGGTGTGGTGATACGGCTCATCCCAAACCTTTCCCCCCCTGCTGAGCCACTCCCGTAAGGCCTGTCTCCAGGCGACCAGGTGGTGCAAAAAGGGATCATGGGATAATAGGGATGTGCTGAGGACGCTGCAGTTCTTATGGTCAGGGGTTCTGAACTATCACCAACACGCAGTGGTCTTCATGAACCCCCCTCCCCGCTATCTTGCCTGCATAAAGGAGTGTTACGGACTGTCTTGAGTCTGTGCTTGTGAAGATCTTGTCATCGTGAGAATGCTCCCCGTGCCAACAAGCGTCTTCAAAGTCTTTCTCGCCCATATTCATAGTGACTACTAACTCAGCAGTTCTGATGGTGAGACTGAGGATGAGACGCATCATGCTAGCGGTCATAGGAAGGTTTGGTAGAAAATCCAACTTGTTGGAAGAACACGAATTCCATGGTGGCACGCAATAGCGAACGCCTAGCAAGAAAATGACCGCTGAATAATCAGGCACACCTCAAATTTGAATTCCTATACACCCTTATCTAGTTCCAGTTTCCATTGAATGTTCCATGTTCTTTTCCATTTGATTATCCATAATTGAGGCAACACCCCTTAACCTTGAACCCCAAGCCGTCAACCCTAATCCTGAACCCTAATCCCTGATCCTGAAACCCTAAATGTATGTAGGGACAGCAAGAGCCACTTTCCTTTTCAGGTTCGGGATGTTTTCGAACCTTGGAACTGCTTAGCAGCTTTGTGTTTAGAGTTTAGGGCTTAGGGTTTAGGGTTTAGAGTTTAGGGCTTAGGGTTTAGAGTTTAGGGCTTAGGGTTTAGAGTTTAGGGCGCTTTAGGGTTCAGAGCTTTGGGCTTAGTGGTGTTCATCTGAACACCCCAAAATACTTGGGGGGGGAACAGGGAATCAGCGAATGTATTACACAAGGGTTTACATAGGGGTCATATTCCCTTAGTCGCTACTAACCCCCAGTAAGCCAAAGTATGCAGAATGATGGCCGTTTGGCATGTTTCGTGATTTTGTGCATTTTTCATTTTTTTGCCTACTGTTTGGGGTCCGGGTAGGGATCTTTGTTCCAGGCTGAAGGTCCAGAGTTTAGGGTTTACGGTTTAGGGTTCAGGGTTCGGGATTTGCAGAGTAAGTAGGGATCAGGATTCCAATTGTAGGACGCATGGATCAGGTTTCAGTGTTTAGAGTTCGGGCATCTGCAGCTTTCCGGGAACGGTCTTAACACGAGACATGTGCCAGATGCGGATAGCTCGTTTGTACAAAAAAACTTCTTGATTTTTCTTGATTTCGAAAGGTGCGAAACTGATGTCTCATTATCGCGTCCTCGTGCAATACCCAACATTAGTCTTCTTGTGGGGCTATGCGGCCGCAGATGATGTTCGAAAATCCGCAAACCCCTGCACTGACGATCATCGACATACACTACCATCCTGGTGGCACAGCATAACGGCACGACGTCACCACGGCGCAAGGGCGCATCGACACATCGGTACACAAACGGGCTTGCTGAAAGTAGATGCACTCCTTGCAGTGGTTGCTACTTCTATCAGAGCCAGGTTAAAACTCAGCAACAGTACATCTCTGCCGAACACACTGTGAGGCGCGTGTTTCATACTCTCAGCTGTGCCGTGATGTCTTCGTGCGTAGTTTGAGTGGCTGTCGGGATAGAGATGCAAGATCAACCCTGGTGCATGCTGACGATGTTTGATAAGGAGCTCTACGAGAAGTTCTGCGGGTTCATCAAAGACAGCCTCATGACAGCAACCGTTCCCACGATCACCTCCAGATTCATCAACTTGGGACCAACGAGTCGCTTCGCATGGGTTTTCTCGTAGGTCTCAAAATGGTAACATCCCTATAGACCCCTAGATGCTTTGCTACTGCTATGCGATCCGCCGGCGTAATCAGGGATCTGACAGAGACAGCTGAAGGGGTCCCAAACAGCCAGCTTCTTGAAAAGGTTTCTCCTAGAACTGCCCGTTGTTGTTGTTGATGAATGGCAGACCAGAAGCCGTATCAATCCTAGTAATCCCTTCGAACTCCCTACACCGGAATAATCGTCCTCGTATGGCCTTACCATTTAGTGCTGTATGAGCAGCGGCATTTATTTACGTAAGAGAGTAGATGGCTAGGTGCGCTGGTATTTTTGCATCTAGGTTCAGCGTTAAGGTCTTCTGGGAACTAGATAGGGGCCATGGGTTGAACTTTGCACTCCGACATAGCGAACGAGATCAGGTGATTTTGTCAAGGTGCAATACAAAATACAATACAAGGCGAGCGAGATGAGGCGCCGTGGGTTAAACATACCGCATAAGGCCCAGGTACGGTAATCCATAACAGCCGATGCTCACATAGGATTATACAGGGATATATACATATATATATATTTGTATAGTGTTTGTATGAACATATGGGATGTATGCGGATGTATAGGATTATATGGTCTGGTCTGCAGCTCAACTTATGACTCGGCCACCTAAACAAGTTTTCGAGTAGACATATCATCTGTTCCTAGCGCATCATGTTTTGCTAGGCGCGTGTATGTTTCCTGCAGGTATATTGGCGTTCTTATGCGGGCGTAGTGCCCCTTCCCATGCAAAGGGCCGCAACGAATCCACACGGTGTTTCCAAGTGGGATGGCCGTTTTACCCCCAAACGGGGTATTGTCCGTAATACTGGATGCTATCGAGCCCAGGAAACATGTACTACATCGACCCCAATATCCTTCGGCGGTTAACTGCGCACCACAAGCTTTCCTATGCGGAACTAGCACCTCAGCATGCAATTCAAATGTTCTTGATTTTTTTCGGAGCAGCAACTTCCTAGTGCTCCCTTGGTTTGTGCTTGTATCGTCAGGGAGAATTTCCGTTGTGATCCTGACAACGTGGAGTAAGTTCGAAAGCGGTACCTCAAGTATTTGAGTGCTTACATGTGAAAAATGGGCAGGCTTCTTGGGATTGTCTTGGATTGAACTCCGACCCTTTTGTCCTGAGTCCTCGGCATCATGCCAAAAATGGTGCGTTGACGTGGCATAATGTTGATGACCAGACTTCCAGCTGAACTTCTACATGTACAGTCTTTGTGGCCAGAACAGGCGTGCACGCCGCTGTAGCTGATAATGATGATGATGATGGTGCCGGGGCCGGTGCCGGTGCTGGTGCTTGGTGCTTGGTGCTGTGTGCTGGTGATGGTGGTGATGACAGCAGGTATCCATGGCATCGACGGGGGGAAACATGACATGAGCCTCGCATACTCCCCGTAAAAGCAGCCCTGTAAGCCCAAATCTGCCCAGTAGATTACCTCCCCCTTGGAAGCTGCCTGCTGAACTTGCCCTTTAAATGCTATATCGAGATGTGCTTATGCGCAAGTAGCTTGCGCTGAGCATTTCCAAGGTTGGCCCTCAGAAAGTGCAGTGGTTTGCTCCTTTGCTGCATGTCAGCAGCAACGATCTTAAAATGAAAGTTGCGCTGTAGCCAGGGTCACACACATTCTACATGGAAGATATAGACTGTGAAGTGATTCATAAGCCGCAGTGTGGTTGCTCATGTGCGGCAACATTTGATAGGTTTCATTCAGTCTCTAGTCCGGGCATCCAACAGTATAGCATTGCCTCTCAGAGGCCTGGCACACTAGGACCCTTCAAGCACCCCCGGAATCTCTGTCAATACATCCCACGCGTACCTAGGGGTACCGCCGTATCCGTCTTGAACAAATCCATATTGCTCAGGTGAGCCACTGGTGGGGCACGAGATTCCAAGTCTACTGCATGGCACTGCAACGGCATGCAAAAGCTGTCTGTGAGACGGCAGATGACGCTATTTGGGGAGCTACGAGCTACTGGATCTGTTGGGCACTGAGAGCTTTGTTACTTTTCAAAGAAGAAGGCTAGAGCCTGCCTTGCCTAGGCACTTTCTCGAACAACCAGTACCAGATCAAAGAGGACCGGGTAACCTCTGCATAGTACACGAGTTGGGCTAAGGGGTCTGCCCTGCCCTGACCATGTCTGTAGCCTCCGAAGTCCGCCCTGCCCTCAGGGTACTGTCTCCGAATAACTCCGACAGAATCTTAAAATTGGACCGCTATGATTTCTGTTCTGGGAATCTTGTCCATGTAGGTCAGTCTTTAGGAAAATTCCCACATCAAAGCTCCTAGCCTTTGTCTGCGTGACTTCCCTACAGGAGCTGGGCACCTCGCACAAGGAATCCTCATTTTATCTGGCCTTGCATAGTGGAATTTGCAGAGGCCAGCTTGGACTGGATTGTAAGACTGCGGGAGTGCGAGCAACCTGCAGATTTCTATGTTGAGGTATGTTTCCCAGGAGTAGGTTTAAATTTGATTATTCTGTTAAGCTACCCCCCACCCCCACAAATATCCTTGAGCTAAAGCAAAATCCAGACCCTCCAAAAGCGGGGATGTACTCCCTTAGTGTCCAAGTACCCAACCATAGCCTGAATGGCTTTTCGTACCCAACCCCTGATTTTTGCGTGCCTGAACCCTCAGTTACTGGCATTTCATGTCAGGCACCTGCATGATTTTGGATGAAATGGCCATGCCATTGAAGAGGCGTGGGACTGCTTGTGTGAGCAAAGTTCCCATGATAATGGTCAGAGTATGTTGCGGTATGTTCGGAGAGCTTCTTTGTCGTTGGAAAATGCCACATTCCTAGTAGTCCGTAAGCATTGGATCAGAAATCCTTTAAAGGCAGACGTCTTGCGCGCTTACTGTAACAGGTCGTGGTGTCTTTTCGAGCTGCTGCAGACGATTGGTCTGGAACAGACACAGGCTGGCTTAATGCTGCTGTGCAGAGACATGCTACTGTTCACAGTTTCGTAGCAGCGGCAGCACGGCGGCGGCCAGTCGACCACGACGACCACGTCGTCGTGGTGTGGAGGTGGCGGCGATAGTGCTGGTCGTTTTCATGGTTGTGGTCGTGGTTGTGGTGGTGGTCGTGCTGGTGGTTGTGGTGGTAGTCGTGGTGGTGGTGGTCATGGTGGCAGTCGTGGCGCACATGTTGGCTGTCATGACTGGGGTCGTTGTGTAAGGCTGTGTCGTCAGTGGCATCATGCATTTGTCACCAGAAAATGCGCACAGTTGCTTATATGTTGCCTCATTTTGCAGAACAAGACGATCACTTGCAAGATCGCGTAAAGAGTAGGAAAGTGACTCGGATAGCCCCAGTGCCAGCTTGGATTTTACTTGACAGACTGGGGTCATTGATTTTCCACCATTTCCACCTGCCTGGATTCTTCTGGAAGCCTTCCAAAATGGAAAAAACGTGTGGTAAGAAAAGGAGACATTCTGTTTTCTCCGGTCGGGAAATCAATGACTGGGACACACTGAACAGACACTGACCACATGTACCCTTTTGCCGAGTGCCATGGAGGTGGGATTCAAAGGCCTGCTGTTCTGCACAGAGAACGGTGCACCTCAGCTTTCGGAAGTTTGTCCGTTGGAGAGGTGATAGGGGGCAGATTGTGTTGTTGGAGGCTGTCTTGTACCTCTTAGCATCCCTTAGCTATCGTGATGGCGAGCTTCGCCAGTCAAAGCATGCTTCAAGGGAGCTTCTTTTGATGGCAAGTAAGATGTTGTGAAAGTAGAAATCCTTGTGTTTCGCATCAGAGCTTTGTTCCGGCTGCTGAATTTTGTCTGAAAGAAGAACTGCTTCTGAGGTCCTGAATTTTGGAGCATCCACTGTCGAGATGTCGATGCAACTCGATCAGGTCTGCACATTTAGTTCTACATGTCTGTTTCTTCATGAACCAAAGCAAGGCGGCCATAGAGCAAGGGGTGTAACACCTCCGAAGATTTGCATCGCCTAGTTGCAGTTCCTCCTTGAACTTTTGGCTTGCCATTTCAGGGAGATTGGAGGGACCCTTGAGCGTACATGTAGGGTATATACAAGGTAGATGCGTGGTTGTCAAAATTATGGTCCCTTTTTGGATCCCTATTATAATACGGCAC